GTAAGCTTGGTTAAAAGAACTCCAGATGGCCCGGGGGCTGCAGGACTCCTTGCCAATTATCAGAGGAAGATAAGGCCTGTGTGAAACCGGGGCAAACCTGAACCAGCGACCCCGTGTTACCTTTAGATCATTAACATATCATCATAATGCTAAAACCTCACCCATAGAAGATAATTGCTGCCATTTTCTGAATATACATTATGTGAAGAAGCATGTTCATGATCTGCACCTGCACGTCTGGAGTTCCTCCCCACATGTGTTTACCTACCTCCCTGCCCCACATCTAACGCCTTAAAATCCCCCAGCTTCTCATATCTCAGGGAGAAGGAATCTTTAGAGAAAGAGCTCCCTCCTCCGTTCCTGGCCAGGAATAAAACCTGCTTGCCCTTTTTCCCATTAGGTGTTACAGTAGAACTCAGTTAGCCTGTAACAATAAGAATTGCATTAAATCCTTATATCAACTTGGGAAGAATTGACAGATTTACCATATTAAGTCTTCTAATCCATAAGTAAGTATGGTCATTCTTTTTTTAGATTTTTGAAATTTCTTTCATCAGCAATTTTGTAGTTCTTTCCCTCACTATCTAGATCCCAAATATTTTCTATTTTTTTTTCTGAAAGTTCTATCTCTTACAATTTAAACCTGAGTAGTTACCAGCATGCAAGCCCTGTACCTGTTTTGTTGGATTTAAATTTAAGTATTTTGTTTTTTGATACATTGTAAATGCTACTGTATTTTAAATTTCAGTGCCCATGTGTTCATTGCTAGTATAAAGAAATACAACATATTCCAGCAGTCTAGCTGAAGTCACTTATCAGCTCTAGGAGTTTTTGTTTTTGATTCTATTTTTGGTAGATCTTTGAGTTTTCCCACTTAGATAAGCATGTTATCTGCAAATAGGGACAGTTTTATTACTACCTTTCTGATCTATATGCCTTTTATTTCCTTTTCTTACCTTATTGCATTGGGTAGAACTTCTAACACTGTTTAACAATAATGGTAAGAGCAATCATCCTTGCCCTGTTCCTGTTCTCAGGGTACATTCATTCATTCTTTCACTGTTAAGTATGATGCTGGCTGTGGAGTTGTTATAGATGCTCTTTAACAAGTTAGGACAAATTCCCTCTATTTCTATTTTTCTGAGCATTTTTAAACCCATGAATGGGTGTTTTGTCAAATGCTTTTTCTGTATTGATTGGTAAGATCAATTTTCTTTTGTATCAATTTTCTTTTGTTAATATGTTGGATTATGTTGACTGATTTGTGAATAGTAAAACAGCCCTGCATTCCTGCAGTAAGCCTCACTTTGTTACAAGATCTTTGGGGTGTTGCTTTTCTGGCCAGAAACCTCTGTGGCCAGTGGCCCCTTTGCCCAAGTTTTGTTTGGGCCCACTGGGCTCCTTCTGCCCACTTGGCCTGGCAGGCTGTGCTCAGCTCATGCTACCAGCCTGGATCCCACGTCTGCCAAAGGCAAGTCAGGCATGGCGTGGCAAGGGGTGTGTGAGCAAGCGTGGAGTCTGGTCACTGTGCAGTCAGACATGTCAGCTGCTGCAGTGGGGTGGGCAGCTCCAGGTGCTGGCATAGGCACTAGCTCTCTGTGAGGCTGTGGCTGGGCCAGGCACACTGCACGCAGCTTCCACAGCTGGAACCGGGGAACACAGTGGTGCCTGGAAGCTTGGAGATGCCAGGAACCACGGGGCTCCCAAAAAGGAGTCATAGACCGGGCTTGGGGAGCTCCAAGGTCTGGGATCCCCTAAGGGCCACAGCTGTTCTTTCTTTCTCTTCACCCTCAATGTAGCGAGCAAGGGACATATTTCAACCCTGTTTGTGTTACAGCCCTTTTAGCCCTGCCATTCAATGGGTCCCAAGTTCTTGTCCTATAACCAGGAAGAAGGAGGTACGCAGACAAGTGGAGGCTCTGAGCAAGATGAAAAGGAGCTTTATTGAGTGATAGGACAGTTCAGAGGAAACCTGCAGTGGGTAGCTCCTTTCCACAGCCAGGGTGTCCTGATGAGTGTTCAGCTCCTAGCAAAGAGGAGACCCTGGAGTGGGAAGCTCCTCTTTGCTTGCAGGTGGTCCCATTGTCTCTGCAGCTCTCAGCAGAGAGTAGGCTCTGGAGTGGGTAGCTCCTCTCTGCTGTTGGTCATCCCAGTGTCTGCTCAGCTCTGGTTGAGCCCAGGGGTATTATGGGCTTCAGAGGGGGGAAAGTGTATGCCAGCTGGTCCATGGGTAGCCATGGGCAGGCCCAGAAAAGGCACCACAAGCTCCCACTCTGGTCTGTGGGGCTGGTAGCCCGACCCCAGCCTTCAGGCCCTCCTTGGCCTGAAGGTGGGGCCTCACTGGGGATCTGCCCCCTTCTGCCCCAGAGCCTATCGCCCTCCTGCCACTGTCCATGGCACCCAGGCTGCTCACAGCAAGGGGCACCTGCAGGCCAGCACAAGCCACCCTCAACTTGGTCATTGTGTATACTTTTTTTTTACATTGTTGAATTCTACTTGCTAATTTAAAAAAAAGTTGCATCTATATTCATGATGTTAGTCTTTTGTTTTCTGTACTATCTATCTTTTTTTTGGTTTGAGTATCAGATTTAGTACTAGCTTCATAAAATAAATGGGAAAGTCTACCCTCATCTTCAATTTTCTGGAAGAGATTTTGTAGAATTAGTGTTAATTCTTTTTTAAACTTTTGGCAGAATTCTCCATGAACTCTCTTGGTCTAGGAGATGTTTTTAAATTTTAGTTTTAAAATTACAAATTCAGTTTTAAAATTCCATTTCATATTGGGTGAGTTATAGTTTTTGAGGAATTGGCTTGTTTAATCTGTCAAATGTGTGTACGTAGAGTTGTTTGTAGTATTCCCTCCTATCCTTCTGATGTATACAGAGTCTGTAGTGATATCCCATTTCATCCTTGATGTTTCATTCCATTTCACCCGCTTTCTTTTCTCTCCTCGTTACTGGTTGTGGGAATGGGAATTCCATCTTCTCCGTAGGCCTCTACTAAGACCTCCATGACTTGGGGGACAATTGGGTGGGATGGCTTATGACTGCTCCCCAAGGGGCCTCCACTGACACCACAGTGGTGGTGGCCTCATTACCACTAGTTGGTGGTGAAAGTCCTGACCCTCCTCTGGGTTTTCTGGGACACTGCCCCAGCAGAGCAGAGAGGGGCACCTCGTAACTGCTGGATGGGAGTGGAAGTCCAGGCTCCCTGACTGTCTTCACTGATATTGCAGGGAGCCCATGGGGAGAGTTGAGGTGCCTCTTTACAGACTGGTGTGGGTGGAATTCTAGGATCTCCACTCTGCCTTTGCTTGTGTGAGTGTGGGTGGGCCACAGTCTTTTCTGTGGTGTTTGGCTGGAGTAGAAAGGTTATTGTCTCAAGGGTTTCTATCTTGTAAGGCTGCCCCTTTTCTGCTTTCTGTTTTGTTTTTGCTTTGTCTAGAGGGAGTAGGTTTTTGTTGGGACTTTTCCCCCCATCTCAAACACTAGAGTTTCCAGGTCGTGAACTTCTTCAAGTCTGGGATATATGAGACAAAATGAAAGCCAGGAGAACGCACTATGATGGTCCCAAGTCTCCTAGCTGGGCTGCCTTCTTTTCCCCACTTTTCAGAATATTCTTATACTTGCTTTATATACAAACTAAATCTACTGAAAAAATACAATAACCAAAATAAATGGATGGGCTCAATAGCCAAATAGAGGAGAGAGAGGGGAAAAAAATCACTGAATTGGGAACTATAACTAGAGAAACCACCCAGACTGAAAAACAGAGAGAAAATAAATGGAAAACAATGAACGGAGCTTCAGGGACCTGTGAGACTATCACAAGACCCAGTGTTTGTGTCACTGAAGTTGCAGAAGAAGAAAAGAAAGAAGACAAGGCTGAAAAGGTATTCAAAGAAATAATGGCTGAAAGTTTCCCAAATGTCCAGAGTGTTTAGTTGTCCTTACTGGGAGGAATAGGGAGAAGTGTGTCTACTCCATCTTCCTGAAAGCTGAAGAACCAAGCACTCCCGGATGGGGAAGCTGGGAAGAATACTGATAAGCTATGCACAGAAGCAGTCCTGGGAGGACCCTGCCACAGGCAGAAACACACTGGACACTCAAAGCCATACTGCTGGGTGCTGGAGTCCATTGCTTCTTCTGAGAAGAATCGCTAACTTTTCTGGGGTCTTCGTACCTTTAGCACCTGATTCAAATTCTTGGGAAGGCTAACCTGAGTGGCCAGTCGCAGGGAGCGGGCCCAGGCCCTGCCTGTCAGCAGGTGTGGAAAGAAAATGTACAGCATCCTGCAGCATCCCTGGTGGAAGCTGGAGCCTGTTTTCCATCAAGCCACACACACTGGGGGATTCCTCAATTTGTCCAATTAGGAGGTCAGTGCATGAGGTTGCTGTAATCCCACATCCCCGCAACACTCAGTTTTACTGAACTTCCTAATATTTGCCAATCTAATAGGTGTAAAATTGTATCTCATTGTTGCATCAATTTGCATTTCCTGGATTATTAACATTTGTGAGCACCTCTCATATGAGTGTTAGTTTTTGAGAGTTGTCATTCTGCAAATTGCCTGTTTATATCCTCTGGTGCTTCACCCAGGTATATTTATGTTTACTACGCTTTTGAATGGGAGCTTATTTCCCTGAGTGTTACAGACATTTGAGACAGTTACATTATAAAAATATATTACTGAGTGAAGAGATAATCATAAGATGTAGTTCTTTAATAATTCCAGATTTGAAAAACAACCACATTAAATGTTATTATTTCCGGGAAGTGAGATTATCTGACATTTGTTTCCTCCCCCTCCTCCTCCTCCTCTTCTTCTTCTTCCTCCTCTTCCTCTTCTTCTTGTTTTCTTCTTATTTATTTATTTTTGACAGAGTCTTACTCTGTCGCCAGGCTGGAGTACAGTGTTGTTTCTTCTTTTGAATGGATGCATTCAACTTTACCTGAGCTATTCACTCCAGGAAAATAGGAATGGATAAGAAATGCCCCACTCTTGTGTGTTTCAGGAAATGGCTAATTGCAAAAAACACGCCTTCCCTATATGACTTAGACCACCCTTCCCTTAATGACTCCCTTGTGTTATAAAACCCCAAGTCCTCTTTTTAAAACATGTTTCTAATTAATGAACTTCTCTCTATTGCAGTAGCCTACATACAACCATCTCCTTAGTTGTCAGGTGCATATGTCCTACACACATTTTCTTATGTTTTTAAATATAATTTTCATACATATGATTGTAGTTTCTATAAACTTTTGAAAAGTACTGGTCAAGTATTTTGTAGAATGTCCCTCAATTTGGGTCTGTCTGATGTTTTCTCATGATTAGACTAGAGTTATACATTTTGGGAAAGAATATCATGGAGGTGATGTATGCTTTTAATCACTTCGTATCAGGGAGCGTATGATATCCATGTGACTTGTCACTGGTGTCGTTAACCTTATCACTTGGTTCTGGTAGTGTCTGCCAGGTCTCTTCACTATGAAGGTACTATTTTCCTCTTTTCATACTCTATTCACTAAATATAAGTCACCAAGTGCAGCCCATACTCAAGGGGAGGGAATGAAGCTCCTCCTCCTTGTATCAGAATGTGTAAAGATCTCTGAGGCTTTAAAATCTATATATTATTCAGTTGCTTTTCCTGTTGCCCTTTTTATTTGTTAAGGAACCAGATCCTTTGGCCTACTTCCCCACACCTAGGCTTGCTGATTACATCTCTGAGAAGTCACGCAACATGTTCCTTTGTTCCTGTCATTTCATGTAAATTGGTACCAGAGGCTTGATCAGATTTATTTATTTATTTATGAGGGAGTCTCACTCTGTCACCCAGGCTGGAGTTGCAGTGGTATGACCTTGGCTCACTGCAACCTCTGCCTTCCAGATTGAAGTGATCCTCCATCCTCAGCCTCCCAAGTAGCTGGGATTACAGGCATGTGCCATCACGCCTGGCTAATTTTTGTATTTTTGGTAGAGATGGGGTTTGGCCATGTTGACCAGGCCGGTCTCGAACTCCTGACCTCAGGTGATCCACCCACCTCAGGTGATCCCAAAGTGCTGGGATTACAGGTGTGAACCATCACACCTGGCCTTGATCAGATTTAGATGCAAGTTTTGAACATGAATATATGGTGGTACATTCTTTCATCAGAAGGTACGTAATTATTGTTGCTTCCCCCACGTTTTTCGAGACAAATTGTTTTTGAGACATCTGTAGCCAGGGCTGGAGTACAGTGGCCTTGGCTTACAGCAGCTTTGACTTCCTGGGTTCTCCCACCTCAGCCTCTCAAGCAGCTGAGACCACAGGTGTGCACCACCACGCCCAGCTAATTTTTTTGGTATTTTTAGCAGAGACAGTATTTTGCCATGTTGCCTGGGCTTGTCTTGAACTCCTGGCCTCAAGTGATTCGCCTGCCTCGGCCTCCCAAAGTGCTAGGATTACAGGTGTGAGCCACTGTACGTGGCCTCCCACATTTTTTTTTTTTTAATGTTAGCAGCTGTTGATGATCATTGCCCAGCTCCACTAATGCACTAGGGATTACAAAATGGTAATATACTTATTTTAACATGATTTCTTCATTTGCTGGTTGTAATACTTATGGCAAGAGAAACATTCCCTCACAATTATTTGGTTACCCTGAGGAACAGTTCATACAAGAAAGGCAGAATTCATGATTCTTTCCCTTTATTTTCCAGTTTTCAAAGCATCCTCCAAAGGTGACCAATGCTTTCCTTTTGAATGATTGCTTTTGTTGTTGTTTTGCATTCCCAAAAGAAATGCTACTGATTATGGTTATTATTCTTTCAGTACCTTGTTGGATTCCATTTCCTAGAGTTTTATTTAAGTGTCTCATGTATATTAATAGATGAATTGATTTATACCTTGTGGCAACTTCCTGATTTTACACACACACACACAGAGAGAGAGACACACACAGAGATTGTGTTTAAACCATTTCTAATTATAATCTCTGTGGGTACTGAAAGAATCCTGCATTTATGGGAAAGAAAAAAAAAATACCTTGAGAGCAAGCGTTCAGTGTACCCAATAAAGCAGAAACTCTTGCATAATCACAAATAAAGGTGCCACAGAAATTTATGGGAAATGGGGTCTTGCATTGCCCAGAGGAAGTCACCAGGGACAGATGTTCAGTAGCTCCTTCTGCACACATACAGTTCCATTTTAGGAAAAGAGGTTGCTCTTGCTCTGTCTACAGCCTTATGGGGGAGACTCCACATCTTTGTTCGTCAAAAGTATTGGTCCTAGGAACCAAACTGAAAGTGTCTTGCAAAGTACCTTTGCCGAGAGATTGGGGGTGGAATGGGGAGAATGTCAGGTGGAATTGACCTGTGCTGCTGTAAGGTAGAAACAAAACATTGAGGAATCTTATTAAGTGTTCCCAGGCTGTCCTAGACTTGGTCTCAAGGGAATGGCAGGCAAGAGAAGGCCTTGGCTCCCTATGTGCTGGGTCCAGGGCTGGAGAGTGGGCATTTGCTTCCTTCTCTGGAATAGAGTGCTGGATGGGAGGCCAGGAATGTGCATCAAAGTGCACAAGAGATGATTCTAGAAACTCTGCTCTTGCCAAGTATAGCCTGGTCACCATGCAGCCTGGTACTCTAAGAGGTAAGTTCCTTGAGAGCAACTAGGAAGAACATGAATATTTTGTGCTGATTTGGAAGAGGCAAGGAGAGTAAAAACTCTCTATGGGATCTGGGCTTCTCGATAACTCCAGTAATTTTTTTTTTTTTTTTTTGAGATGGAGTCTCACTCTGTTGCCCAGGTTGGAGTGCAATGGCACGACATCGGCTCACTGCAACCTCTGCCTCCCAGGTTCAAGTGATTCTCCTGTCTCAGCCTCCAGAGTAGCTGGGATTACAGGCATGCGCCATCACACCTGGCTAATTTTTGTATTTTTAGTAGAGCCAGGTTTCACCATGTTGGCCAGGCTGGTCTTGAACTCCTGACCTAGGTGATCTGCCCGCCTCAGTCTCCCAAAGTGCTGGGATTACAAAAGTGAGCCACCATGCCTGGTCTAACTCCAGTAATTTTAAGGAATATCTATCAGCCTTGTTATCCTCATCTTTAAGATGAACATGGAAAGAGAACTTATCCTGTAGGCCTGTTTTGGAGATTAAATGTGATATGGCATGTATACCCTTGCTTGCTGCATAACAAGATCCTAATAAAAGCCATTGCTTCTATTACACAAGATACTTTGCTAGGTTCTTTTAATTAAGTGTACCAATTAACATATTTATTGTAAGGTTAGTATTGATATCTTATTATTTTATGTCATCTTTATTTTAATAAGAAAATGGATGCTCAGAGAAGTGAAGTCAGTCATCCAACATCAACAGGTAGGTGGCAGAAGTGCTGGGGTTAAATCCCAGAATTGCTTTCCATCGCACGTTGTGCTTTGCCAATACGCCATATTGCCAAAAAACCCAGACTTGGATGCTAACTGTCTTTGAATTATTCACAGCACTCAGTCCCATGAAATGACCTTAATGACTCCACAAGAAATAAATGTTAAATAAAAATGGACTCCAGCCTCCTAGGCCCAGGATTTCTTGATGTTTCTTTGGTGTTTTGGAGGACACTAGATTTCTGCAGCTTCTGGATGTCTTATGTACTCTCTGGCCTGTATTTGTTCCTAGCACCCCTGGTTCGAGTTTACCAGAAGCCAGTGTGAGATTCAGGGGCCAATGGGTACCATCAGAGACAAATAGGTTATCAGGTGGGAGGTCCTGTCTAAAGTGAAGCTGTGCTTGGGGCTCAGATACTGACTCCATGTGAATGCAATGGATCTTGTGTGTTACGAGGACAAAACTCCAGGAATAGAAATTCAGTGAGACCTCATACCAGAGCTCTAGGCAGGTGTGGCAAAGCCCCAGGCAAGGAGCTGGGCTATAAGCAATTCTTGATCCTTCTGTTCAGAGTGTGCAAAATTTGCGTGGTGTTACCCCATGCAGAGACCCACTGAGTTGTGTGCCAATGGACGTTTCAGGGCAATTCTCAAAGCAGGGAGCTAAGCTGAGGGGCTTGGCAGGGGGAAGACTCCACAAGAAAAGGCTTATTGGATGTCTGTGAGGGCACACTCAAGACAGGAGAGAGTCAGCAGGTGCAGCTGAGAAAATTCAGTCTCCACCTTCTCCAAAGACATTCTCTGAAGACACATGCTTTATTTATTTTCCACTCATTCTTTCCCGACCTAAGCTGGTGCTACACTCATACTATATCCATCATTGCCTTCGGCCTCTAAGGATGTGCTGATTGCCCTATAGATTGACATACAAAGTTCAGAATGATAAAAATGGAAAGGCATTATAGTATTATCTAAATATGCCTCCTCAATTTAAGGATTAATAAAATTGGGCTAGACTAGGTCACACAGTTGGTTAGAGGCAATGTCAAGATTAGAAGTTGCCCCATGCTCAGTGCCCTGTTCATCATTCCAAATAAAATCAAAACAAGGTATCTTTAAAAGTTTCTCACTAGAAATGACAATGAAGAGAGCACCATCAATAAAAAAGACAGACGTACCTGAAAGCCCCTTCCCTGCCCTGCCCTTTTCAGTTTCCTGTGGATTCTCAGACCATGAAAGGTTAGAAATGTTAACTGCAGATAGAAAAGAAACATAACATGAATATACTTTCCTATTAGTGGATTTTCCCCTACAAGATCACTTTTGATGAGCAGTGAAGAAGCTAATGGTTAGGAGCATGGCCTCTGGTGTCAGACTTCCTAGACTCAAATCCTGGCTCCATGTCTTACT